GTCTTCGTAACAGTAAATTTTCTATTTTTTTTGTGTGTGTAAATACAGATTCAAAATAGAAAACAAGCATAATATAAGAGGGGACTGGATATGTGACTGAAAACAGAGGAAATGTTTTTTTCAGTGCCAGGAATGTCTGCACTGTTTATTCTGGACCCTATTCTTAAATTGGAAATTTTTTAATTTTGTGTGAAACTGACCAAATTACCGATTTCCTATCACTTTATTGCGTAGATAAAATAAGTAAATGGGAGGTTTCTTGCACTCAGTCGATAGAATGGAAGGAATACTAGCGAAATAACTATGAGTTTGGCAGACTTGAAAAATGGAAATGGCCAAAAATATGGTGCAAAGTGGGCGAAATAGCCGATCCATAAACATTGCCAAGACCGCTAACTTTGCGAAAGCATAATTTTTTAAGTTTTCCATCAAATTTTGTACTTTTAGTTGTATTATCTTCAAAAAAAGATTCTCCATCTTTTCTAAAGATAAATTACCGGGAACAATGGCCTAGTAACCCCTTTTCCAGTAATAATTACTAAAAGGAATAATAAGAAGAAAATTTTCGAAGTGGGATGTCTCAATGTGCGTGGATGTTGTGCGAATCATAAGAAAGAGATGATTGTGGATGTTATGAATGAGAAGAAGCTGGATGTCCTGGCTTTAAGTGAAACAAAGCTGAAGGGGGTGGGAGAGTTTCAGTGGAGAGGAATAAATGGGATTAAGTCAGGGGTTTCAAATAGAGTTAGAGCTAAAGAACGAGCAGCAATAATGTTGAAGGATAAGCTACGGCAGGAAAAGAGGGACTACAAATGTATTAATTCAAGGATTTTGTGGAGTAAAATAAAGGTTGGATGTGAAAAGTGGGTTATAGTAAGCATATATGCACCTGGAGAAGAGAGAAGTGTAGAGGAGAGAGAGAGATTTTGGGAAATGTTGAGTGAATGCGTGGGGAGTTTTGAACCAAGTGTGAGAGTACTTGTGGATGGGGATTTCAATGCTGAAGTGGGTAAAAATGTTGTGGAGGGAGTAGTAGGTAAATTTGGGGTGCCAGGTGAAAATGAAAATGGGGAGCCTTTAATTGAGCTATGTGTAGAAAGAGGTTTGGTAATAATAGATATTTTATGAAAAAGAGGATAAATAAATATACAAGGTATGATATAGCACGTAATAAAAGTAGTTTGTTAGATTATGTATTGGTGGATTAAAGGTTGATGGGTAGGCTCCAGGATGTACACATTTACAGAGGGGCAACTGATATATTGGATCATTATCTAGTTGTACCTACAGTTAGAGTAAGAGGTAGATGGAACAAGAGGAAAATGGCAACAACAAGTAAGAGGGAGGTGAAAGTGTATAAACTAAGGAAGGAGGAAGTTTGGGTGAGACATAAGCAACTATTGGCAGAAAGGTGGGCTGGTGCAAGTATGAGTAGTGGGGGGGTTGGAATAGTTTTAAAAATGCAGTATTAGAATGTGGGGCAGAAGTTTGTGGTTATAGGATGGTGCGTGAAGGAGGAAAAAGGAGTGATTGGTGGAATGATGAAGTAAAGGGTGTGAAAAAGAGAAAAAGGTAGCTTATGAGAGGATTTTACAAAGCAGAATTGTTATAAGAAGAGTAGAGTATACGGAGAGTAAAAGAAAGGTGAAGAGAGTGGTGAGAGAGTGTAAAAGGAGAGCAGATGATACAGTGGGAGAGGCACTGTCAAGAAATTTTAATGAAAATAAGATAAAATTTTGGATTGAGTTAAACAAGTTAAGAAAGCCTAGGGAACAAATGGATTTGTCAGTTAAAAACAGAGTAGGAGAGTTAGTAGATGGCTAGTAGATGGTATTGGGTAGATGGCGAGAATACTTTGAGGAACTTTAAAATGTTGACAAAGAAAGGGAGGCGGTAATTTCATGCACTGGCCAGGGAGGTACACCATCTTTTAGGAGTGAAGAAGAGCAGGATGTAAGTGTGGGGGAGGTGCGTGAGGCATTACATAGAATGAAAGGGGGTAAAGCAGCTGGAACTGATGGGATCATAACAGATGCTAAAAGCAGGGGGGGATATAGTGTTGGAGTGGTTGGTATTTTTGTTTAATAAATGTATGAAAGAGGGGAAGGTACCTAGGGATTGGCAGAGAGCATGTATAGTCCCTTTATATAAAGGGAAGGGGACAAAAGAGATTGTAAAAATTATATAAGAATTAGTTTACTGAGTATACCAGGAAAAGTGTACGGTACGGTTATTATTGAAAGAATTAGAGGTAAGACAGAATGTAGGATTGTGGATGAGCAAGGAGGTTTTAGAGTGGGTAGGGGATGTGTAGATCAGGTGTTAACATTGAAGCATATATGTGAACAGCATTTAGAAAAAGTTAAGGATGTTTTTATTACATTTATGGATTTAGAAAAGGCATATGATAGAGTGGATAAGAGAGCAATGTGGCAGATGTTGCAAGTATATGGAATAGGTGTTAAGTTACTAAATGCTCTAAAGAGTTTTTATGAGGACAGTGAGGCTCAGGTTAGGGTGTGTAGAAGAGAGGGAGACTACTTCCCGGTAAAAGTAGGTCTTAGACAGTGATGTGTAATGTCACCATGGTTGTTTAATATATTTAGAGATAGGGTTGTAAAAGAAGTAAATGCTGGGGTGTTTGGGAGAAGGGTGGGATTAAATTATGGGGAATCAAATACAAAATGGGAATTGACACAGTTACTTTTTGGTGATGATACTGTACTTATGGGTGATTCTCAAGAAAAATTGCAGAGGTTAGTGGACGAATTTGGGTGTGTGTAAAGGTAGAAAGTTGAAAGTAAACACAGAAAAGAGTAAGGTGATCAGGGTATCAAATGATTTTAGATAAATAAAAATTGGATATCAAAATGGGTAGGAGAAGTATGGAAGAAGTGAATGTTTTCAGATATTTGGGAGTTGACGTATCAGCGGATGGATTTATGAAGGATGAGGTTAATCATAGAAATGATGAGGGAAAAAAGGTGAGTGGTGCATTGAGGTAAATGTGGAGTCAAAGAACGTTATCTATGGAGGCAAAGAAGGGAATGTATGAAAGTATAGTGGTACCAACACTCTTATATGGGTGTGAAGCTTGGGTTGTAAATGCTGCAGTGAGGAGGTGGTTGGAGGCAGTGGACATGTCCTGCCTAAGGGCAATGTGTGGTGCAAATATTATGCAGAAAATTCGGAGTGTGGAAATTAGGAGAAGGTGTGGAGTTAATAAAAGTATTAACCCTTTGAGGGTTTCGGCCGTACTAGTACGGCTTAGGACCCAGGGTTTTTGACGTACTAGTACGCCTAAATTCTAGCACCCTCAAATCTAGTGGGAGAAAGCTGGTAGGCCTACATATGAAAGAATGGGTTTATGTGGTCAGTGTGCACAGTATAAAAAAAATTCTGCAGCACACAGTGCATAATGAGAAAAAAAAAACTTTGACCATTTTTTTGGAATAAAACAGCGACTTTGCACTGCATTTTCGTATGGCATTTATTGTTGTATTCTAGTTTTCTTGGTCTCATTTTATAGAATAGAAGACATATTACAGAAATTGAGATGATTTTGACTGGTTTTACAATGAAAAGTACCTTGAAATTGAGCTCAAAATAGCAGAAATGTTCGATTTTTACCAAAGTTCAAAAGTAAACAAATCATGCCAAGCGTCCAATACATGTCAACTGGTGAGTCTAATAATTCTTATGCAAGTGTGCCAATATTATTTATACCATTTTTTACACTAATGCAGTAGTCTGCTTGACAATAAATCTTCTATTTTTTGTGAGAATAAAAATTCAAAGTGGAAAGCAAAAGAATATAAGAGGGGCCTTGAGATGTGACTAATGAACAGAGGAAATGTCATTTTAGTACCAGGAATGTCTTTCTTGTTTATTCTGGACCTTATTGGGAAATTGGCATCTTTTGAAATTTGTGTGAAATTGGCAAATATTGCTAAATTCTGACAACTGTACTTGATAGTTGAAATTGATAAATGGGTGGTTTCTTGCACTCATTCGATATAAAATATGGAGTTCTAGCGAAATATTCATGGTTTTTGTCGGCTAGTACAGTGGAATTGGCCGAAAATGGGGCTCAAAATGGGCAAAATCGCCAATGCGTAAACATCGCCGAGACCGCTAACTTTGCGAGAGCATAATTCCGTAAGTTTTCCATCAAATTTCAAACTTTTGGTGTCATTATGACTGGGAAAAGATTCTCTATCTTTTCATAAGAGAAAATTTTTTTTTTTTTTAAATTTGGCCGGCCCTGAGAACGAGTTTCAGAGAGGGCCTGTTGACCCTCAAAGGGTTAATCAGAGGGCTGAAGAGGGTTTGTTGAGGTGGTTTGGTTATTTAGAGAGAATGCATCAAAGTAGAATGACATGGAGAGCGTATAAATCTGTAGGGTAAAGAAGGTGGGGTAGGGGTCGTCCTTGAAAGGGTTGGGGGGAGGGGGTAAAGGAGGTTTTGTGGGCGAGGGGCTTGGACTTCCAGCAAGCGTGTATTAGCGTGTTAGATAGGAGTGAATGGAGACAAATGGTATTTGGGACCTGACAAACTGTTGAGTGTGAGCAGGGTAATATTTAGTGAAGGGACTCAGGGAAACTGGTTATTTTATATAGCCAGACTTGAGTCTTGGAAATCGGAAGTACAATGCCTGCACTTTAAAGGAGGGGTTTGGGATATTGGCAGTTTGGAGGGATATGTTGTGTATCTTTATACGTATATACTTCTAAACTGTTATATTCTGAGCACCTCTGCAAAAACAGTGATTATGTGTGAGTGATGTAAAAATGTTGAATGATGACGAAAGTATTTTCTTTTTGGGAATTTTCTTTCTTTTTGGGTCACCCTGCCTCGGTGGGAGACAGCCGACTTTAAAAAAAAACAAAAAAGGGCTGGGCTTTGAAATGATTTGGTATGATAACAGCTCTGAACCTGTAAATTCAAGGGTGCTAAAAAATAAAAGTAATCACACATGCAACAAAACATTGAAATCTTACCTTTTGCAGCATGCTCTGCTCAGAAAATGATGGCATGCGAGTAGACACATGGAAGACTACTTCAGTTAAGGATGTAGCATAGTAAGGAGCAGTTTCACCAGTGGAACCATTACGCTGAAGGCCACCTAGGAAACCTGTGTGTGTTGCCAGTTCCACTTCCCAGCCCAAACCAGCTACAAATTCCTGTGTGGAACAAAAACATTTTTTTTTTAACACACTGGCTGTCTAACACCAAGGCAGGGTTACCCAAGAAAGAAACACTTTTACCATCATTCATACTATCACTGTCTTACCAGAAGCATACAGATATGACAGTTCAGATTTCCCTCCAAACAGCAAATATCCCAAACCCCTCCTTTAACCCTTTGAGGGACAGTCATGTACACATACGTCTTAACACCCAGGGTTGGTCGTGTACTTATATGCTTAAATTCTAGCGCCTTCAAATCGAGCGGGAGAAAGCTGGTAGGCCTACATGTGAGAGAATGAGTCTCCATGGTCATTATAAAAAAATCTTGGAGCCAATGGTGCATTGTGGGAATGCCATTCAGTATCCCTTGTTTACCATGCCTCACGGTAAGAAAAACCTCACTCCGCGGTGAATTGGGACTCTTATTTTCCCAAGTGACAGTTCTAAGACAGATGGAAGTGTCAGTGAAGATAAATTTCATGGTTTTGAGGAGTTTGTAACCGACAGCAATGCCCCAGAAACAAGAAGGAAGGAAGGAAGGAAGGAAGAGATGGGAAGGGAGGGGAGGGGAGGGAGGGGGAGGGGGGGAGGGGGGGAGGGAGGGAGGGAGGGGGAGGGAGGGAGGGAGGGGAGGGAGGGGGGAGGGAGGGAGGGAGGGAGGGGAGGGAGGGAGGGAGGGAGGGAGGGAGGGAGGGAGGGAGGGAGGGAGGGAGGGAGGGAGGGAGGGAGGAGGGAGGGAGGTAGGTAGGTAGGTAGGTAGGTAGGTAGGTAGGTAGGTAGGTAGGTAGGTAGGTAGGTAGGTAGGTAGGTAGGTAGGTAGGTAGGTAGGTAGGTAGGTAGGTAGGTAGGTAGGTAGGAGGGAGGAGGGAGGGAGGGAGGGAGGGAGAGGGAGGGAGGAAGGGAGGGAGGAAGGGAGGGAGGAAGGGAGGGAGGAAGGGAGGGAGGAAGGGAGGTAGGGAGGTAGGGAGGTAGGGAGGTAGGTAGGTAGGTAGGTAGGTAGGTAGGTAGGTAGGTAGGTAGGTAGGTAGGTAGGTAGGTAGGTAGGTAGGTAGGTAGGTAGGTAGTGTTACGAGTATGGCCATACCCGTCATATTTTATAATAGAATATGCTAATGTTAATATTGTATTATATTATGATTTGTTAACAGTTGTTAACATTGTCATGTAGTGGGAAACCACTAGTGTAAGTACCGGTTAGCACTTCAGGTACTTAAGTCTCCCTCAGTCACTTGACCAACGTGACGTCGGCTTACCACTCAGTGGTACCGGCAGTAGGTTCACAGCACCTGCTCAGAGTAGGTTCACCACCCTTGCTCTGAGTAGGTTTTCAGCCCCTGCTCAGAGTGGCTTCTCAGCCCTTGCTCTGAGTAGGTTCTCAGCACTTGGTCTGAGTAGGTTCTCAGCCCTTGCTCTGAGTAGGTTTCCACACACTCTCAGAGTTTGTTCATACTCTTCTGAGCACATTCAGGCACTCAGCCTTTAATACATTCCCCCGCTCTAGAAGATTACTTAGTCCCAGACAACGTGTACTTTTATGTATAACACTACAAGAGAGAGAGAGAGAACTTTGTATCATATACTAAGTTTTGTATGGATTCTTTTATAATAAAGATCACATTTTATTTAGTCGGATCAGTCTCCTAATGAAAATCCCCACATTAAATTGACGTGTGTCTAAGGACAACTAGACAAGAGCTGGATTCGACATCTTGTTACGGAAAGGGGCCAAAACAGGCCCATAGACATGGCCCCAGCTGTAACAGTAGGTAGGTAGGTAGGTAGGTAGGTAGGGAGGTAGGTAGGGAGGTAGGTAGGTAGGTAGGTAGGTAGGGAGGTAGGTAGGTAAGTAGGTAGGTAGGTAGGTAAGTAGGTAGGGAGGTAGGAAAGTTATTTCGTCTAAACATTGGCTCTCAAATGGTCCGTTAACTCGCTAATCGTCCTTCGTCCGGGACGCGTACTCACGCTCTGAACCGCCTGGGTCTGCCTTCCCAGCCAGTGCGCCATTGTTTACCAGTGAGCGACAGTCCCCTCACATGCTCCTACGAAATATTTCATAATATTACATTGATTTTAGTGCTTGCAAGTGCTAAATAAGCTACCATGGCTCCAAAGAAAGCTTCTAGTGCCAGCCCTTTGGTAAAGAATGTGAGAAACACATATAAATTATGAAAAAGTTTGTAGAAAAATACAAAGGTGGTGGTGGTAGAGTGGAAGCAGTTGTGATAGTGGTTGATGGTGGTAGTGATGGTGGTAGAAGGTAGAAGTGATGGTGGTAACAGTTGTAATAGTGGTAGAAGGTCGTAGTGATGGTGGTAGAGGGTTCCTTCTTTAGTGATTCAGCGATTCTACCAACTCCTCCAATGTTGTTGGAGTTATATAGGGCTACAGAAAACACCGCCTCAGCTGCTGCTTCACCACCATTATGGACGGCTTACTCTCAGTGGCCCTTATATACCCAATAACAACAACACAACACAACACCTCTTGTGACATACGTAATGACTTATTTTATTCATTCTAGAGTATATTCCATGTTTCTATGTTATTAATATTGTTTATGATGTCATATTAGTTGAACTGTGATAGATAAACAAGCCATAGAGTTGATATTAGTGTCATATTCTCCAACAATAAACTTGCCTTCCCTCCCTCACACAAACAAGTCTCCAATAAGAACATAAAAAAAGGAGGAACACTGCAGTAGGCCTGCTGGCTCATACTAGGCTGGTCCTTCACAAATCCAACCCACTAACAGAACAAATGCTACCCAGGCAATAAGCTCAGGTGCAAGTCCGACTCAAATCCAACTCCTCTCACTCGTATTTATCCAACCTAAATTTAAAACTACCCAAGCCATAGCTTTTAGAACATAAGAAAGGAGGAACACTGCAATAAGCCTGTTGGCCCATGCTAGGCCAGTCCTTCACAAATCCAACCCACTAACAGAACAAATGCTACCCAAGCAATAAACTCAGGTGCAAGTCCAACTCAAATCCAACCCCTCTCACTCGTATTTATCCAACCTAAATTTGAAACTACCTAATGTTTTAGCTTCGATCACCCTACTAGGCAGACCGTTCCACTCATCAACTACCCCTATTACCAATGTTCATTTATACATTTTATTAGTGCCTTACATTTATTTGGCATTTTTTTCTGTATGTAAATCTATATTTATGCTAGGGAAGTGACCCCTGAAGTGACCTAGAGCCTTTATGGAGGGGAATTCCCCTTCCAAACAATAACCTCTCTTCCCTCTCTCCTCCTCCCTGTCTTCCATTCATCAACAACAGCCTTCAATAAAGGTAACTGTCATGTTGAATGTTTATTCTTTTGTGCATGTAAATCTATCTTTTAGGTAAAAAAAAAATTGTTGTTGATACTTCTGGGTGTCTGGAATGAATTAACTGGATTTACATTATTTCTTATGGGGAAAATTGATTCGAAAATCATCTATTTCGATAATAGTCCCACTTCCAGGAACAGATTAAGAACGATAATTGAGGGACCACTGTATGTGTATATACAGAACAAAAGTAATAAACAACTTTTTTATTGTTGGTTTGTGTGAACATGTTGAGTAAACAATAAAATGATAACAATGTGAGGTTATTGTGTTGTACACAACCAGTGGAAGGAAGGGGTAAGAGAGGTTTTGTGGGCGAGAGGCTTGGACTTCCAGCAGGTGTGCATGAGCGTGTTCAATAGGAGTGAATGGAGATGAATGGTATTTGGGACTTGACGATCTGTTGGAGTGTGAGCAGGGTAATATTTAGTGAAGGGATTCAGGGAAACCGGTTATTTTTGTATAGCTGGACTCCGAGTCCTGGAAATGGGAAGTACAATGCCTGCACTCTAAAGGAGGGGTTCGGGATATTAGCAGTTTGGAGGGATATGTTGCGTATCTTAATACGTATATGCTTCTAAACTGTTGTGTTCTGAGCACCTCTGCAAAAACAGTGATTATGTGTGAGTGAGGTGAAGGTGTTGAATGATGAAAATATTTTCTTTTTGGGGATTTTCTTTCTTTTTGGGTCACCCTGCCTCGGTGGGAGATGGCCGACTTGTTAAAATAATAATAATAAAAAACAAAAAAATATACATGTATATGTGTGTGTGTGTGTGTGTGTGTCTGTGTGTGTGTGTCTGTGTGTGTGTGTCTGTGTGTGTGTCTGTGTGTGTGTGTCTGTGTGTGTGTGTGTGCACGCGCGTGCGTACATGCGTGCGTGTGTATGTGTGTATATATATATATATATATTTTTTTTTTTTTTCAACAAGTCGGTCGTCTCCCACCGAGGCAGGGTGACCCAACAAAAAGAAAGAAAATCCCCAAAAAGAAAATACTTTCATCATTCAACACTTTCACCACAATCACACATTATCACTGCTTTTGCAGAGGTGCTCAGAATACAACAGCTTAGAAGCATATACGTATAAAGATACACAACATATCCCTCCAAACTGCCAATATCCCAAACCCCTCCTTTAAAGTGCAGGCATTGTACTTCCCATTTCCAGGACTCAAGTCCGACTATATGAAAATAACCGTTTCCCTGAATCCCTTCACTAAATATTACCCTGCTCACACTCCAACAGATCGTCAGGTCCCAAGTATCATTCGTCTCCATTCACTCCTATCTAAAAATGCTCATGCACGCTTGCTAAAGTCCAAGCCCCTCCCCACAAAACCTACTTTACCCCCCCTTTCCAACCCTTTTGAGGACGACACCTACCCCTCTTTCCTTCCCCTACAGATTTAATATGTTTTCCATGTCATTCTACTTTGATCCATTCTCTCTAAATGCCCAAAACCCCACCTAACAACCCCTCTTCTGCCCTCTGACTAATGCTTTTTATTAACTCCACACTTTCTCCTAATTTCCACACTCCAATTTTCTGCATAATATTTACACCACACATTGCCCCCTTTGACAGGACATCTCCACTGGCCTCCAACCATCTCCTCGCTGCTGCATTTACCCACCAAGCTTCA